TATTAAAGTTTCACAGTCCTGTAAACTAATGGTTGATAGACTTTACCATAATAAGTAAGAGCAACTAACTTGCATGTTATAGTTTAGTTTTGTTCAATAATGAAATGGCCAAATATAATTGTAAGAAATGGAAAACTTAACAGAAACTCCAGGAAGAGTACCCTAGAAAAGCAACCCATATTATTGTTAGCAAAGTTTAAAGTATCAAACTATACTGATATTTTGTGTCCAAAATATTCTCACAAGCTGGAAAGCCTTCTTTATTTAGGAAAGAAATGTAATTATTTATACTTATTATAATGCAGGTAAGATTTGAAATGAATTTGAATTTATGTTTGTATTTTATTAGAATGTCACAAAAGAACTTTTTGTATGAAATACAGAATGATGATATAGTTGGTTTATTTCTTTGTTTGACAGCATGTATTTGAGAAGCAATTGAATAATGTTAAAGTTAGTATTTAATATAACGTGTAGTGTAAGAGAAACATAGCTGATCCAATGATCATTTTTACTGTTCATTACAGACTTTCACTTCAGTTTAGGTATTTTAGTAATACTGACGTGCCACAAATTACCATTTTGTGTAATTTATTTTTGCAAAATGTAAATGACAAAGCAAAACTTATAGTTATCTAAGTTAAATCATCCACAATATTTTTAGATATCGATGTTTTAACTTAGTAACTGCAAAAATAAAAAGTGAAAATGATCCTCAATAATTTAACATGTTCATATCAAATTAATCATGAGAGTGTCCTTAATGAAGTGAGAGAGGTGAACTGTTTTTATTTTTAATTCATTGGCATTGAACAGAAAGAAAGGCTTGTTGTTTTTTTCTTTACGTATCTAATGGTACTAAATTCAGTTCTGATCTGTAAAGTAATTAAAAAACATTTTTATAAGCATATCTGAAGTTTTTGAGGGGCTTGATTGTATTTGAATAGTATTTTGTGTTTGGCATGTTTTTTGAAGCTGATTTTTCCCATGATGCTTGGTTGTAACATCACCAAAAACATTCTTTATTCATAGAATGTACCATACTACTAATGTAATATGATATTTAAAAGTTAGTCCTTTAAATGCTAAAATTAGATGCCCTTCTTAATCCAGTGTATTAATCTTTAATATTCTAAAAAAAAAAATGAAAAAAGACCCCATTTACTTTTGTGTGTAAGTAAGTTGTTAATCATAATTCCCAATGTCTATAAGGTTAAAGCTTGTATCCAACAATTAGAAGATAAAACAGATGAAAAAATTGAAACAGATAGCTGCTGAAAGAAAAGCAGTTTACAGTATTTTCAGTAGCACTGATTACTAACAATAATAGTAGTTCTGACAATAACTGGAGGCTTGAACAGGAAAAGATTTATGGTGTTTAGAATTTAAATCAACATATTTTAAAAATAGACTAAAGAAAGATCTAGAGAAATCCTGAATATATTCCTGAGTAAAATCATCTTAAGAAAAGGCCTGTTCTTGACTGAGAGAGCATAACTGTATAGACATAGAAATAATACTGTTATATCTTTGAGAGTGCAGACATTACTCGTGCCACTGGTTATCCCAAGTGAAAATTGGTAGAGCTTAACCATCAGGCATATCTAAAGTTAAACTTGAAAATGTTGCTAGATAACCAAAATAGATCTCCAATAACATCACCCGTAAGAAATGTCCAAGAATATTTAAGGGAGACACATGCCTTGATCATGTATAACAAGCACATGAAATAAAGTAGTGATGCACAAGCTTAATTTTCTGTATATGATAGTCTGTAAGCATACTCAAAATTTTGTAAATTGTGTGAAATAGTTTATCTGTCAAAACCAAAAGAGAATACATCTAGGTATCACAAATGCATGACAATTGTACCAGTGGCACAAAAAAATGACCAGTCATTAGAGAAAAAAAGTTGGAGAGAGAGATGTTGCTGTGAAAGTCTTTTTTGTTTATAGCAATACAAAAGGGAAATGCAAATGAACAGGTGTCAAAGAGGGTAAGACTGTTTGGAGAAAAGCAATACAAAGTACGAGTGCTAGTGGCAAGGAAATAAGGGACAGATTTGCAAAACATCAAGTTTTTGTTCTTGGTAGAAAAAGTAATGCAAACTATACACTTGATCAGGCAAAAGTGCTAATGCAAATAGCTTTTGAGCTGACTAATTTTAAAAATAAATAGATGAATTGGTGTTTGAAGATCAGATTTAAAACAAGCTGAAGGTGTAGGAAATGTTTTCTTTAACTGCCAAGGGGAGGAGTCATAGCATGGGCACAAAGTGCTATGTTGTTGTTTTTTTTTTAGTTTTTTTTCAAGAGATGGAGTAAACTTCCATTTTTAGTTGTTTTTCTTTTTTAAAAAAAATCTATAAGCCACTTTCATGACCATATCCACTTCTCTGGGATCTTTCTCTTTAGGAAAGCAACTAACTATTTGAATGATTTCAAGAGAAATATCCAGTTTTGATGACTTATGTCACAGGTTGTCTAAGCATGTTATCAGTTAGGCAGATGTTGTTGGCTTTTTTAATTGTTATTTTTCTTTTGTGGTTCATATTCCATTGTTTTAGCATTATTCTATGGTCATATTTTCTGAAATGATGGACTTTTGCAGTTACATTAATATTACAGAGTTTTGTATGTCTGTTATGCTTTTGAATTTTAACTTCTTATTTTGTTTTGTTTTTTGTTGTTGTTGTTGTTGTATTTTATCCACTATCTTGAAGTCCATATTCACAAGGAATGCTATGTACAGGTGCGTGTGTGTATGTTTTTGTTTTTTTTTCTTCTTCTTCTTCTCCCTTGGAGCAGTCACATTGTATTATGGTTTCTGAATATTTTCTGTCCTTATATTGTTTTCATATTATTTGTATGTTTTGAGAGAGACTTTTGATATAGGGGAATATAGCTGTTTGACTGTATTTTTCTTCCTGCTTTTTTTATGGTGTTTATATTTATTTTGACTTTATCAAGTGTTCTAAGTATCAGTTGTTAAGGAAGATTTGAATGACGTGTTTCTCTTCATCCTCCCAAGAAACTATATATTACATATCTTTTTAACTCTGGAGACTAGGCAATCTGTGACACCTATCTTTACACTGTTGAAGTGTTTTTGGAATTTACATTCTTTTTCTATTCTAAGTTGTATCACTGAATGTTGTTTCTTTTAGATGGTACTAAAATTCTGGAATGGTCATATTAGGCATCTATCATCAACACATCTGATAGACATAGACTGCCTAGAGTCCAGAATGAATAACTGTTTGTAGTGGTAAGATGTTGGAAATAAGGAAGAAAATCAAAGCAACCTTCCTTAATATTGAATACCCTAAACAACTGATAAAGAAGAGAAACATTAAGAATGAACAATAACAAAGTTTCAGACACACATTCATATTCCCATGTGACAAAGTGCTCTCTCAAAACAAATAGAGAATACGTAAACATAAATCAGAACAGTATTCAGAACCCACAGTACAATACAGCCCCAATTAGTACACTCCACACCACCTAAAAACCAATAAAGAATGAAAACACCCCCTTGTTAATGTGTACTCCAATACCAACAAAAGTAAGAATTCAGGAGAATAATACACATACAAGTTTCTGTTATAGCCCATCATATAAGAAAAATCATAAAATAAAATGTAATAGTGTTAAAATAATGTGATGTGAACCGCACATGACACAAAGAAAAGAAGCCTTCTACATCTACCTTATGTTAATACAGTCAACCTAAATAATAAGTAAAATGCGATATCCCTCATGAAACCATTCAGATAGTTGATTCAATTTATAATTGAGAAATCCTGTATGAGGGAATAGCACAATAACTTTTCTAACCAGACAACTCATCATCAAATCTCCTAGCTTTGCTACTACTTTACATACCTTCTCAGAACTTCCCTGAAGATGGCAGCAGATTAGTAACCAAAATGTAATGTATAAATTAATTAAGAATCAGTTTTTAGTAATAATATTTGTAAAATAAAGAATAAAAATTGTCAATTAATTAATAATTCGAGTCTATTGATTTTATAGGCTATTAGCCACTATAATGACTGACATTTGATTGCCATAACCTTACCATGAATGCATAATGGACTACATGCCAAGGACCATTGGTTATCTTTGTGCATTACTAATCACAAATTTGATTAATAGCACTTTAAAAATGGACACTTATTAATGTAACAATTTCTGAAGCAATATCTCAGTTCTTTTTTATTGTGCTTGTGTTGTACAAAACTCTTTTATTTGAACATAAATATATAATTGGTTTTAATACTTTGTTGATTGTTTAAACTTGGCTTCTTTTGAAGAATCAGAAGTGTTTCTTTCAACTGTAGCATAGACTGGTTTCAACTTTACTGATTGCTTTGAACATTCAGTGAGATAGGACCACATCACATTCACCTTGTGTGCATCAGACTATGCTTGAGCAGTTCTTGAACCTAGGTTTAAAGTGTTCTTTTATATGATCTCCATTACACGTTGGGCAGCACATTCAGCTTGACTGGGAGATCCTTTAAAAGAATACTTTAATCCCAAGTTCAAGAATAGCTCAAGCATAGTGTGATGCACACTAGGTGAATGTAATGAGGTCCTATCCCGCAAACTGTTCAAAGTAATCGGTAAAGCTGAAAATGAGGCTGTGCTTTGGATGAAGGATACACTTCTGATTCTTCAAAAGAAACTGAGATCAACAAATTGCAACTGAACTTTCTCACAATCTAATTATTTGAATTTTATTTAAAATTTCATGCTCTATTATATAATAATTGTTTTTTATCTGCTTGTTAAACACAAACTACAACTGATGAGATCTTTGTTACAACTTAGCTTGATGAAAATATTTTGAAACAGTTGCAGCATTTTATATTAAAAAAAATTAACCATAGTAACTTGTTTGTAGCTTTGTAATCTCACTTAGTGGGCTTAGTGTTTCATTATATTAATAATTTGTTTCTCCTATTTTAATAAGAATTATTTACTTTGTTGTAGCCATTTCCAGTCAGAGAACATGGATCCTTATGAGCCATCTTACACTCCACCTTTAGATACTCTTCCATATGAAAAAGACCAAAAGCTCTGTGATGATAATTTAACACCTCTTTACACACCAACACACACAACAGCCAACAAGAGACTATCTGTAACAGATGATAGTGAGCCTTATGACCCTTCATTTACTCCTCCATTGGAGAAGATGCCTCGAAAGGATACTTGTGAATTGGAGGATGTCACCATGAGTGATTCTGGACAGAACCTGACTCCAGCTGTGAGCAGTGATGAGGATAAGCCATATGACCCTGAAGAAACAGATTATTCTTTTCCACAAATATGGAAACAACAGACTTCTATGGCCAGTTGTTCACCAGCAGTCATTGCCCAGGCTGACCAACAAAAATTGTTGATTGAATTGACAGATAAGGCTCAAGCAGAAAAGAAACAAACTGACCAACAATACTTTCAGGGTATAAGTTGTAAATCAACAGATGGAAATAAATCTTCGACTTCGACATATCAAAATTATTCCTGGCCAGATGGTAAATCAATGAATATTAAAGATAGTGCACATAACCTCCAACACCTTGTGCAAAACTTTTCAAATAATGTCTGTTCTGAACAATCTCCAAAGAAAGAATCATTAACAGTTACAAGTGATGTACTTAAAAAATTATCATCAGGCCTACCTCCACACTTACGAAACATTATCAACGCTATTAATAAAGTTACTCAACAGGTAACCAGTGGTACTCGTTCATCACAGAATACAGATCAGAGTGGAGAGGACACAGAGAAAATGTCTCTTTTGTCTGAAGATTCAATTATTCAGAACTTCTCTAATGTTTCACAAGAAGAACCTAAACAAGAAACTTGGGCACAGTTGGGTGAAAAAAAGTTACCTAAAAATGTGTCAAATATTATATCAGTCACAAAACTACAAGATCCTAGGCTTAGAGGAAGAACTATTGATGAAGATACAATGGCTCATCACTCACCTCATGCATTTACTGCTGTCTCTGAAAATGTCAGACCATCTCAAGTTATTTCTCAAGTCATACCACCAAATAAAAACTCGTTAATTTGTAGCCAATCTCATACTTTCTCAAGTAACATAAGTGGAAGAGGTGAAAAGAAAAGCTTATCTCTCTCACCAAGGAAATCATTATCAGAACCTCCACCACCAGGTGTTGACTTTGAAGAGTTGGACAATTCTGCTACAGCATCATCTTTCCCATTGGTTTCACATGCAATAGGGTCTACAGGAATGATACTGGGTCCAAAGCCACCACCAATTCCACCTCCTGGTGAAGCTGTCAAACCACCTCTCCCCCCAAGTAATTCCACAGGTTATGCCTTTTCCAAACATCTGCATTCTGAAAACCCTTACGTAAGTCCTAGTATTTGTCAGAAACCTATAGAACCTCATTTGTGTACCCCTCATCAACATCCTGGGAGTAGTTATAATTCTTATCAGTACCCATATAGTGGAGGAGGTGCTACTAGTTCCACCAAAATTCAGACACCATTTGGGCAGCACAGTCCTACTGAAAGGTCAAAATCAAGTCCTTTTAATAGTAACAAAGACCAAGATGAACGAGAACGGTCTAACAGATATCATGAGCATAAGCGAGACAGAGACTATAGACGTGAACATGATCACAGTCGAGAAAGGGACCGAGACTGGAGATCAAAAGATAAAAAAAAGCACTATCACAGAGAAGATCGTTATCGGGGTGATAGAAGGAGGAAGCATCATCGTAACTAAATTTAATCACTTGTTTTTAACTTTTTTTTCAAAAAATTACATGCTAAGAACCATTGGTTCTTGTTTGGTATAGGACAGATATGTTTTTTTCTGTAAATTGTACAGTTATAAAGTATTGTCTCATCTACTACAACAAAGACATCTGTGTGTCACATTCAAACGTGTTCATCACATTGATCAGTAGCTCGCTCATTTATTGCCTATATTGTGCTGGATTTTAATCACATTAATCAACATAAATTTTACAAATGCAACTAATCTCTTATGAGGATAATGTCATTATCATTTTTTTTTATATTTTGGCTTTGCACTATTAAAATTATGTATATAATTGGATTGCATTTTTAGATGAATGTTTTTTATTGAAAATAAGTTTTCTCCAAGATAGTCTATATTTGCAGTGAAGTTTTCTACATATTCACACAAACCTAAGCTGGTCTAGTATTCGGTATTTTAAATATGTATAAAAATAAATGTTCTAACAGTTGCTTGGCATATTTAAGTTCATCTTTGATGTTGCTCATAGAGCTGTGCATTGAGCATAGATATAGTGAGTAATTTAAGATGTACATCTTTCCTGCTTCATTTATCTATGTGAAATTTTCTCTGAACTGAGTTTAGAAAGAGACGACCATTTGCCAATCACCAGAATAAATCTTGTCTGATGTTTTTATCTTTACTATATAATATGAATGTTTCGTTTCTAAGCATGTCTCGTTCACGTGAGTAAAGTTTATTCTTAAAATCTATTATCTCCAAAGAGTTACAAATTTTAGCATTGTAATTTGTTTATTTGTTCATGTCGATGTGTAAAAAGAAGCTCCTGTTAGTACAGTTTGTACTATTTAGTATCTGATGCTATATACTATTGTGTTTTTTGTATATAATCCCGTGGTACTAGTTGAACATTTTGCCTCTGTAATGCGTAAGTTGGTGTGCATTCATCTCGAAACGTTCTTGTAACACAGTGTGATCTGTAGGCAAATAATAAATTGGCAGTGCTTTAAAACTTGTGTGATGTGTTATAAAATAAAACTCGTATGAAAAAACTACCAAAGTATATTCACAGTAGTATAAACAAAAACTTCAATATTTTATTATGGTATTAAAATCAATGCTTAAAATTTCCAACAGTATTTCGTTGCCATCAGTGGGATGGCATGGCCTGGTGGTTAGGGCACTGAAATTGCAATCTGCAGGTCATGGGTTCTAGTTTCATCACCAAACATGCTCACCCTTTCAGCCGTGGGGGCGTCATAATGTGATGTTCAGTTCCACTATTTGTTGGTAAAAGACTAACCAAAGATTTGGCAGTGGGTGGTGTTGACTAGCTGCCTTCACTCTAGACTGTCACCTCCAAATTAGGGACGGCTAACGTAGATAGCCCTCGTGTAACTTTGTGTGATATTCAATAAACAAAGAGATGGCGTGCATGTGCGTCATTCACCAGCAGTAGCTGGGGGGGGGGGGTATTCAAATGGCTTTCAAACTCTACAAAATGCGAAAATGAGGGATTTGAGCAGCCCTCTTGGGCATACGCAAGGACCCTTGAAAGTTTCATTGTGATCAATTTTCACCCGACTAAGTGTTACTCTTCCAATAGTTTAAATTTGTTGATACAATACATCTATTTAATTAGCTGTCACAATTTATATTACCGTGTTTTACTGCAATAACGGCTGTTTTCTCAAAGAATCGTTTTCTGCGATCATAAAACTAAATTCTACCTGAAGTGAATAATGTGACTTTTAAATTAATCTTCAAGGTGCATGCAAATACTTTGCAGTCAAATATTGTTTCTAAGCATATCGAAGTAATTTTGAATTATGATACTTGTTTGTGCCACTGACTTTACGCTGGAAATAATAACTTGAACCAAAAGAAATCCAAAAACAGACGTTTTCTATAGCATTTCAGTTTAAAAGAGTAAGACTTCTACATATCAGGAATAATAAATGTAAGTGTATCATGTAAAAATACTCCTGTTAGACTAAAAATGTCAAGTGAGTTTAAACTTTTAAAATTAAAGTATTGATCTAGAAATAATGTAGGTTCAGTTGTATGATGAATAAAGAAAAAGTTATGATCCAGTTACAATAAGTACATTCAAGGAAAAGCGAAAGCCTAAAACCACCACGATATTTCTATTACCTGCTACTTACTGTGATTTCTTCATGTTTCACTAACTGTATTTTTATAATATTACAGTAAATGGTTGACATGTCATTTATCATGCAAGAACGTATGGAAGTGAACCTGTTGCGATATAAACGGTTTACAAGGCAGAGCTAAGAAAAATCATCATGGTGCACAACTTGTATACCCATATTGCGCAACTACAGTGAGCACCAAAAATATTTTTAAACGTGTACATGAGATCGGCCATTTATGGAATGAAATCACAATTATCTGATAATGTTTTTATATTCCACAGTCACTAAATTAGATTTGATACTGTCAGAATAGTGGAAAGTCATAAATGATTTTCTGGCGATTCATTCGAATTTCATAACTTCTTGGGTTCTTTATATTTGAAAATAGAAACACCAACACAAGTCTCAAGATTTTAAAAATTACTAGCATATTTCAGTGGGTGAATACTTGAAGTCTTATAATTTAATAAGGCCACCACAATTCAAGTTTGAAGCCTGCTCACAGTGTTTTTTTTTTCTTTCTTTCTTTTTGATATTTAATATTGAAACTCTCCATGATGTAAAGTGTCAATATCCATCTTTTGTCGTATTTCGAAGTGTTTTAATATTTTATTCTCTGAGAAAATTTTACAACATGCAGATAACCACTGAACAAATATGCTCTAATATAATGTACATCCTACTTACAGGGGTGGATTAAAGGTCAGACGGGCCTGGAGCTAAATGTTTATACCGGGCCTATTATGATCGCGACTAAAAAAAAGTTTAAAAAACAAACCTCAAGATATGTTTTGCTTTTGGAGATAATGGGGAAATAATACCCACGGATTTAAAAGACTCATCTACAAACCGCATACACATAAACTCAACAATTCACGTGTGCGCACGTTTAGATCACACAGGTACGCTCAGCAACAGTAGCAGATCATCTCATCTGTACTTGGTTAAACTACTGTCCTCCTGGTTCTTTTTTGTAGAAAAGGCATTTGTGGTCTTTTTTCGTGTCAAGAGATTCTAAAAAGTCATTTTCTATGCATAAAAATGTCAGTGCATTTAACCTGTCTTGGCACATTGTTGATCCAAATATGTTCTTTATCCTTTTTTAGCATCAAGAATGATATTTAACCCGAAAAATGGTGTGACATGAGGCACATTTGTATCCTTAAGATTATCAGGACGTTTGGGAAAGCTGATTTCGGATATTGGTCGCATATTATTCATATTTTGTATTCTCACGGCTTTTCAAAGAACCCTGTCTTGCAGATGGCGACAAACTGAACAATTTCTTCTCAACAGCTTTTTGGTGGCATCATTGAGGTCCTCTGTGGGCATGGGCTCTAAGTTTTATAGGAACCTAAATTTTCAATTTATATTTTCATATGCCACTGTTCTGTTGTCTATTGCAAGTGACAGTTTATCAGTTATTGTTAAGAAAGTCTGAACTTTATATTGAGTAGAGGGTAAAAAAATCACTGTCCTCAACATCCCCTTGCATATTTTTCCTCCTTTTACTTTATCTTTCGACCTCATATGTCTCGCACCCTGACCGTTGTTTACCCTTTTCCTCATATTCGGGAAATGAATCTTGTAATTCCTGCACGAATGTCTTGAGAGATTTTAGCTGATGAGAAGCTGTACTGACATTGATTTGAGAGTTTTGTAATGAATGACTTGTATTGTGAAACCTCATCAGGATAGCACTCCATAATTCCATCATTATACCTGTTTCTTATATCATTCTTTTCAAGGAAATTAATGAGAACTCCAGTAAGTTCTGCTCCTATATGATTTCTTATCGGCAAGTTTCTGTACAGGACCATCATCTATAACGTATCTAAATATTTATTGTCAATTGATTCGAGTGGGATATGTCTGGAGTAGAATCAACAAACACTGAGTGATACTTGGACGTTTAGACTTTGTCATGATAAAAAAGACTGTTTGGCTTAAATAGCAGTGATTAATTCATATTTGTGAGTGAATATTTATTATTTTAAAGTTTTGTTATAATAAGAGTAAAAAGCAGACGATTGTAGAAGGTTTTGTTAATAACTAATTGGTGTCGAGAATATAGAAAATGGCCACACGCTTATGTAATAAAGATATACATACCGTGAGACGAGCGGGAAGCAGCAAACAGACAGACAGTATTAGACAGATAAGAGTAAAGAGAATATAGTTGGTGTGAAGTTAATTAACGTAAAAGTGATAGGCCTAACGTTTAATATGTTAGAGTGAAATTAACAGTATAAAAAAGATAAGAAGGATAATTTTATTCCATCAAAGCGTGGATTTAAAGTAATTGAATCAGACTGGGTACACTTTGACAAAAGGAACAGAGGATCTTCAGAAGAAAGAAGACCAAACTAATTACGGTAACTTGCGCCACAATTGTAAGTGAATCACACACAGAATACTAGTACGATAGTAATAGAGAAGACAGTTCGACTTGCCAACTGAAATTCTAAAGTAACTGAATAGGCCTAAGTGGACTTTTGACAAGAAGAAGAGAACTATATAGTTTCGTCAGCGAGTCACATGACCACCGTGACGCAACGTTTCTAGAACTAT